CTACCACGCCCGGCTGATTTTTTGATTTATTGTAGAGATGAGGTCTCGCAGCCCAGGCGGGTCTCGAACCCGCGGGCTCAGGCTGGTCTTGAACTCCTGGACTCAAGCAATCCTCCTGCCTTGTCCTCCCAAAGTGCTTATATTACAGGTATGAGCCACAGCCCAGTCCTTAAGTAGTTTTAATGTAAACATAATAAGTGTCTAAAAATGGTCTATGATAGATTTTGCTGTAAATTTAAAAGGATTCCATAAGTATTCTTACCCTTTAGGTTTCCAGGTTCTAACTCCAAGACCTTTTCACAATCCTGCAAAGCAGTACTCCAGTTCTGTAATTTGATTTCTGCTTGAGCTCGATTGTTATAGGCAGCTACAGTGGGACATGCTGATATGCTCCTATGAAAAACATTTACGGGAAATAAGCAGACCTCAGGTAAACATAAGAATACAGAGAAATGCAGCTTACATTGGAAACAAAACAAGTATAGACTCTGTATGGGCCAAATTGAGTCTCCCAAAAATTCACATGTTGAAGTCCTAACCCCTCAGTACCTCAGACTGTGACTGTATTTGAAAACAAGGTATTTATTTATTTATTTATTTATTTTTGAGTTGGAGTCTTACTCCATTGCTCAGGCTGGAGTGCAGTGGCTCACTCACGGCCACCGCAGCCTCAAGGTTGAGGCAGGCAATCCTTTCACCTCAGCCTTCCAAGTAGTCTGAACTACAGGTGCATGCTACCATGTCTGGTTTATTTTTTGATTTATTGTAGAGATGAGGTCTCACCAAGTTCCTTGACCTAGTCTCAAACCCCTGAGCTCAGGCAATCCTCTCACCTCGGCCTCCCAAAGTGCTCGGGTTACAGGTCTGAGCCATAGCGTCAGGCAAAACAAGGTATTTAAAGAGGTAACTAAAGTAAAATGAAACCATGACAGTAGGTCCTAATCCTGTAAAACTGGTATCTTTAGAAGAAGAGGGTATCAGGACACAGACTTGTATGAACAGACCATGTGAAGACACAGGAAGAAGACGACCACCTACAAGCCAAGGAGGGAGGCCTTGGAAGAAACCAATCCTGTCGGCACCTTGTCTCAGACTTCCAGCCTCCAGAACTGGGAGAAAATACATATCTCTTGTTTATGCCACTCAGTCTGTGGTACTTTATTATGGCAGTCCCAGTAAACTGATACAGTTTATGTTATGAAAAACAACAAAATAGAATTCTACATACTAAATCAACAATTAAACAGATGTTTAAATATCCAGTTAATAGGTTTAAAGTTAACACAGGCTTTAGATATGACACGGGAATTTAAATACCCATAGATCTAAAAAAATAGTTTAGTTAACATCAAATATCAAACACATCACTTTGGGCTGGGCACAGAGGCTCATGCCTGCAATTCCAGCACTTCAGGACACTGAGGCTGGAATTGGAGGATCACTTCATGCCAGGAGTTCCAGATTAGCATGGGCAACATAGAGAGATCCTGGCTCTACAAAAAATTTTCAAAAATTAGCTGAATATGGTGGCATACACCTGTATTTCCAGTTACTCAGAAGGCTGGGGTGGGAGGATCAATTGAGCCTAGCCTAGAAGTTTGAGACTGCAGTGAGCTATGAGCACACCATTGCACTCCAGCCTAGGCAATAGAGTCAGATTCTATCTCTATTAAAACAAAAAAAGCCGGGCTCGGTGGCTCAGCCTGTAATCCCGCGTCTTTGGGAGGCTGAGGTGAGTGGATTGCCTGAGCCCGGGGTCGAGACACGCCTGGGCAGCGAGACCACATCTCTACAATAAATCAAAAAATCAGCCGGGTGTGGTGGCGCATGCCTGTAATTTTGGCTACTTGGAAGGCTGAGGCGGAAGGATCGCCGGAGCCCAGCAGGTTGAGGCTGCTGTGGCCGGAAGCGGCCACTGCACTCCAGTTTGGGCGACCAAGTGAGACTCCAACTCAAAAAAAAAAAAAAAAAAAAAAAAAAAAAAAACAGACTGGGCACAGTGGTTCACACCTGTAATCCCAGCACTTTGGGAGATCAAGGCAAGAGGATTGCCTGAGCCTGCAGGTTGGAGACCAGCCTGGGCAACATGGTAAGACTTCGTCTCTACAATAATAAAAAAAAAATTAGCTGGATGTGGTAGCGCACGCCTGTAGTTCCGGCTACTTGGTAGGCTGAGGCGGAAGGATCGCTGGAGCCCAGCAGGTCAATGCTGGGGTGGCCGTGATTGTGCCACTGCACTTCAGCCTGGGCGATGGAGTAAGACTCCAACTCAAGAACAAAAAACCAAACACAGTCTTTTTTTTTTTTATCTCTTGAGAATAATTTCCTAGTACAAAAAAAAAAGGAACAACCAATCACAATTAACATCCTTTTCTCAGTTGTTATTGTGCCAACCAAAACAAATGAGTCCATAATATAAATGTAGATTTAACTCTGAAAGGAAATGATCATAAACTAATTTAGTCAAAGAAAGTTAATTGAAAAGAACAGAGATCAATTAGTGGCATGAGGAATAACAACTTCAAGAAAGCAGATTTTACTAGATTAAGGTTATGAGTGCAAAGTAATTGAAACTGCCTATATAAAATTATTATAGGGCCACAGGGTAAAAGCTGTGAAAAACACCTGAGTTCTAAAAAGCTGCTGGCATAAGTTAGAAGTTAATAAATCTGTTTTTCTTTTTTTTTTTTTTGAGTTGGAGTCTCACTCTGTCACCCAGGCTGAAGTGCAGTGGTATGCTCATGGCTACCGCAGTCTCAACCTGCTGGGCTCAGACAATCCTTCCACCTCAGCATTCCAAGTAGCTGGAATTACAGGCACGTGATACCATGTCCAGCTAATTTTTTTATTTATTGTAAAGACCATGTCTCACCAAGTTACTCAGGCTGGTCTCCAACTCCTGAGCTCAGGCAATTCTCTTACCTCGGCCTCCCAAAGTGCTGGGATTATAGGCTTGAGCCACTGTGCCTGGACCTCTAGGTTGCTTTTCTATAATGGCTTACTGTCTGGGCGTCAGGTCACTGGGCATCACAAGACTTGTAGCTTCCCCAATTGCTATTGTAAAACCTCTCAGAATTTTTTTTTGTTTTTGAGTTGGAGTCTCATTCTGCCTCCCAGGCTGGAGTGCAGTGGCACGCTCATGGCCATACCAGCCTCAACCTGCTAGGCTCAGGGGATCCTTCCATCTCAGCTTTCCAAGTAGCTGAAATTACAGGCATGTGCCACCATGCCTGGCCAATTTTTTGGTTTATTGCAGAGATGAGGTCTCACCAACTTACCCAGACTAGTCTTGAACCCATGAGCTCAGGTAATCCTCTCACCTCAGCCTTCCAAAGTGTTGGGATTATGGGTGTGAGCCACTGGGCCCACCTATAAGAGATATTTTTCAGACTTTGCATTTGGGTGACCCACACCAAGGAGTTGACTCAGCTGGTCCCAACCCCCATGGCTCTGTGCTCTAAGACAATTTCAACATCCCCATAATGTCATCCCCAACCAATCAACACTGCCTATTCCTTAGCCCCTTGCCTGCCAAATTATCTTTAAAAATCCAAGTCTACAAATTCTCAGGGGAGTGGATTTGAGAAATCTCTCCCGTCTCCCACTTGGCTGCCCTATGACAAACTCTTTTTTGACCGTAACAGCTGCTGTCTCAGTGATTTGGCCCTCTGTACACTGTGCATAAGAATCTAGTCAGGCTGGACATGGTGGCTCATGCCTGTAATCCCAGCATTTTGAGAGGAAGAGGCAAGAGGATTGCCTGAGTCCAGGGGTTCAAGACCAGCCTGGGCAACTTGGCGAGATCTCGTTTCTATAACAAATCAAAAAATTAGCTGGGCATGGTGGTGCATGCCTGTGGTTCCAGCTACTTGGAAGGCTAAGGTAGAAGGATCGTCTGTGCCCAGCAGGTTGAGGCTGTAGTGGCCGTGAGCATGCCACTGCACTCCAGCCTGGACAACAGAGTGAGACTCTGACTCAAAAAAAAGAAAATGAAAATGTGACAAAAAGGTCAATTTACTAAGATAATTAAAGATGACTATAAGGAAATTACATGACTGGGCATTTTCCAGGCATGGAAAATACATGAAGGAGTAAATACTGAGTCCCTGACGCTGAGTACTTACCAAAGGCCAGGTACTAAGTCCTTTATACACACAGCTCATTTAGTTCTCATTACAAGTCACAGAGGAGATATTATGTTCTTCCCATTTTACAGATGAGAAAGTAGATGCAACAGAAAGGTGAAGTAGAAGGCCCACTGCCACAAACTAGTAAATGATAGTCAAGATTCAAACCCAGATGTCTCCACTCTTTACCACCATCTTATTTTGCCTTTCAGCACATACTTATACCTAAATCTCACAGCAGCTCTGAAGTAGACACCGTTATACCCTCCTCACATTGAGGAAACTAAGGCAAGGGAAGTGAAAAATCTACCCAAGGTCAGGAAAGGGTGGTTTAAGTTCTCTTAACCATCACACTATGCTGCTTTAATTCTTTAATGATACGACTTCTCAAAAAAAAGAAGATAAACATTTTGTTCTGTAACAGACAAGAAAGCTTCTAGTGGAAATATACAAGAAAAGAAAGAACAGTAGCAGGGCTGACATCCACCTGCTTGAACAAAGGAGGCTGTACTGGCTGAATGAGCCATCAAATATTCTGTTTACCTAATGTTTCATTTAAAGTCTTGAGACAAGCTTCTTTAGAGACACAAACAACATTGAAAAAAAAATCTATCTTCTTTCTGTAGGTGGAAAAAAGACTGTACAGAGTTTAGTGTTAAGATGACATTAGTGATTCTATAATTACAGTTTGCCAGTAACAACATTTTAGAAATGTGATCTACTTTTCACAGACTGTTAAGAACTTCAAAAGTTCATACAAGTATTTATTTAATATCTACTATGAACCAGCTAGTTGTTGGGTCTTGGGGATATTGTGATATAAAAAAACTTGACAAGTGGGTTCTGCTCTTACAGATCACAATCAAGTTACTATCACATAGACACAAATTATACTACTGACAAGTGCTGCAAAGGAGAGGTAAGACTCTGTAAGAGCCTACAACTTGAAGAGTGAGGTGGGATGGAGATTTAACCAATCTGGAAGGTCAGGAAAGACTTCTCCAAAGAAATAAGGCATGGGCTAAGAGTTGAAGGATAAGTTAGAAGTAACTAGATAATGAGAGGGGGGAGGTATATTTTATTTTATTTTATCTTTATTTATTTTGGGGGTTGGAGTCTCACTCTTGTCACCCAGGCTGGAGTACAGTGGTATGCTCACAGTCACTGCAGCCTCGACCTGCTGGGTTTAGGCAATCCTTCCGCCTCAGCCGTCGAAGTAGCTTGAATGGCTAGTTTTTGTGATTTATTGTAGAGATGAGGACTCACCAAGTTGCCCAGGTTGGTCTCGAATCCTGGGCTTAGGCAATCCTCTCACCTTGGCCTCCCAAAGTGCTGAGATTACAGGCTGAGCCACTGCGCCCAGCCAGGGAAGAGTATTTTAGATGGCGGGCCCAGCATGTGAAAAGGCCCTGTGGTAGAAAGGAGCACCACAAGTACCAGAATTAAATCCAGAGTCTGACTACAGAACACAAGTTCTTAACTTTCATGTTATAAAAATTTTCTGCTGAATGTCTATTTCCTTTGTAAAACAGGAAAGTTAAGTCCTCTGTCAAAAGTGGGAAGGGGTGGAAACTTGGTATTGAAAAAAAATGAATGAAAAAAATGAAGACAAACACAAGTGAATTTAGGATAAATCACAAGTATAAGACATTGAATGATTCTGACATAGACTAACTTATTTATATTGCTTCAACATTTAAATGCTATCATATTATTAAATGGCAAGTTTAAACCACAACAAATATTTGCTCACCTAGTATAATACATCACTGCCTCTTCATAATCTCCTGAGTTGAAAGCTTCATTTCCTTTTTCCTTTTCACGAGTAGCAAGAAAATCCTTTTCTTTCTCAGTTAGGCCTAGAAATAAATGTTATCTGCTATATGTGAAAATACAATTTAACAGTATTTTTTCTTTTTAGTCAGGATCTCACTCTGTAGCCGAGGCTGGAGTGCAGTGGCAGAATCACAGCAATCCTTCTTCCTCAGTCTTTTGAGTAGCTGGGACTACGGGTGTGAGCCACTGCACCAGGTCAAAATATTTTTAAGGCAGCTGCAGTGGCTCAGCCTGTAATCCCAGCACTTTGGGAGGCCCAGGCAAGAGGATTTCCTAAACCCGGGGGTTCGAGACCAGTCTGGGCAACTTGGTGAGACCTCGTCTCCATAAAAAATTATAAAAACTAGCCAGGCATGGTGGTGTGCGTCTGTAGTTCCAGCTACTCGAATGGCTGAGGAGGAAGGATCGCCTAAGCCCAGCAGGTCGAGGCTGTGGTGGCTGTGAGTGTGCCACTGCAC